TAATTATTTATTTGTTGTTTTTTTTACCTGACGACAAAGCCTCTTCCCTTTTCTTCAATTCTAAAAGGTTATCTTAATTATTAATAGCCGAATGAATATTAGTGCGCATATTTACGCATTGTTACACCTATTGTTTGTTTTAATTATTACGGTTCTGCATTATTTAAAATACACTGTTTCTTAGTGGTTTCTAGACTTTTCTAAGCGCAGTTATATATTCCACGCGGTCTTTTGAGTAAAATCAGCAAGCAAATTGGAGCTGATACACTTATTTTCAAGAAGGATTGATGTTGTTTATTTTTTTAAATAAAAATTTAAATAATTGTTACTTTGTTAAGAATGTATATATATATATATATATATATATATATATATATATATATATATATATATATATATATATATATATATATATATATATATATATATATATATATACATACATATATATATATATATATATATATATATATATATATATATATATATATATATATATATATATATATATATATATATATATATATATATATATATATATATATATATATATATATATATATATATATATATATATATATATATATATATATATATGACTGGTAAAATTGTTTTTTTAGTACAATGTTTCTTTTTTAAGAAAACTGCTTTAGTTTGGTCGTTAGTCTTTTTAAAACATTTTAAGCAGTATTTGTTTTATTTTTTAGAGCAGTTAAGAGTAGCTGATTGCTTTTTTTTGTAAGTTCAAGTTATTGTCTCATACATAAATTAAGATGTTTGATTTATTTCAGTCTATTTTATATTTCTCTATATCTATATATATTTTCTCTATAAGGATAAATAATAAGGAATAGAAAAATTAAGAAAATTTCTTCTGCAATTTGTCAAAAGAGTGTTGCTCTGTGCTTCATTTTAAGGTATCTAAATATGTATTTATTAGAAATTTGTAATTTTGTTCTAAATTGGTTGTTTATACAAATGTGTTTTTATTATAGTATGAAATGTATTTTATCTAATGTGTATATGATTGTTAAATTAGGTGATATATATTATATAGTTGTTTATTTAAGTTTGTTTTTATAATAGTATGAAATGTATTTTATCTAATGTGTATATGATTGTTAATTGAAGTGTTTTTATATGTTATATAACATTAAAAATATATATTGTGTTTTATAGTGAGTTATATTTTTATATAATGTTGTTTCCATGATTTCAAAGTGGTGTGACTTGGCAAACGTGAAGAGATATATTTTTCATTTTTACATGTAAAGCACTGCTTTAAGTCTAAGTGTTGTCTAGCCTTTTATATAATATATTGAAAATACACAACATTATTTTTGATAATTTTTGCGTAATGTTATTATCTTTGGCTTATCTTTATGATGGTAACTGTTGTTTAAAAAATGATTAATAGGTAGTTTCATTCATGAGTTCAAAATGTTTAGTTAGACATTAAGTAAATAATGTTAAGTAGCTTAAAATTATAGGCAATATATAATTTTTTTTTAAAATTTTATTAAGTAACTAATTTATTGTAATCTTTTTTCAAATTGCAAATTGTCAAAAGAATGTTGTGTTATGCTTCATTTTAAGGTATCTAAATATGTATTTAGTTTTCATTTTTTAGAAGAAGTTAGAACTAAATTTACTGGTAAATAGTTTTATTAGTACAATGTTACTTTTTTAAGAAAACTGTTTTAATTTTGTCATTAGTCTTTTTAAAACATTTTAAGCAAGTATTTGCTTTATTTTTTAGAGCAGTCAAGAGGAACTGATCGCTTTTTTAGTAAGTTAAATTCATTTTCTCATACATAGGCTATGATTTTTTTTTTATAGAAAGAATAATGTGAATAAAATTTTATTTAATTATTTTATATAAAAATTTAAATAAAATAAGACTGTTATTTGTGGTCATGTAAGTTTATTTACATAAATTTGTGTTTATTTCAGTCTATTTTATATTTCTCTATATCTATATGTATATTTTATCTAAGGAAAAATAATAAGGAATAAAAAAATTAAGAAAATTTGTTCTGGAATTTGTCAAAATAGTGTTGTGTTAAGCTTTATAAGATATCTAAGGTATCTAAATATATTAAGGTATCTAAATATATATTCATTAGAAATTTTTAATTTTGTTTTTAAATGGTTGATTCAATTTCATTACTTTAGATAAATATATACTGACTGTCATAACTTCATTTTTATTAACAATGTTGTACATTGTAGTCTGCATTCTTTGTTACATTAAAAGTAATTGATGCTAATAAATGTTGTTTTATAGTTGTTAAAAGATTGCATATAAGTTTGCATGTATATTATGCTCAAAAATTAAAATTTTTTGATAAATACGTGTATGTAGTGATCTATGTTATATAGTTGTTTTTTTAATGTGTTTATATAAATGTGTTTTTATAATAGTATGAAATGTATTATATCTAATTTGTGCAAGATTGTTAAATTGGGTGTTTTTATATGCTAAGTAACATTAAAAAAATATATTGTGTTTTATAATTAGTATATATGTTTATATAATGTTGTTTCCATGATTTCAAAGAGACTTGGAAAACGTGTAGAGCAAGATTTATCAACCTTACCAGTCAAGCGATGTTACTGCTTTAAGTCTAAGTATTGCCTAGCCTTTAATATAACTATTCTGAAAACACGTTGCATTATCTTTAATAATTTTCCCCGTAATGTTGTTACCTTGGGCTTATCTTTACGTTGGTGTCAGCTGTTAAAAATGATTAATAGGTAGTTTCATTACTAGAACTCACTGCTTTTATTTATTAACTAAAATTCATTCAAGACATCATTTAGCTCTAAATACATTTTGTTTATCATGAAATAACAATAATTAGCAACTGCTACTCAGGTATCACAACAGCTTATCTCTATCAGGTACATTGATTTTCAATTCACATATGATGTTTTTCTTTGTATTTACTTATTCGTTACATTTTTAACTTCAGATTTATAGTGGTTTTATTTGCTATAGAAGAATAAATCATTTTAAATTTTTTTAAAAATATCTACTCCAGTCTACATTCAAAGTTTATAGTTACATATACCATTTTTAAGTAGCTTCTAGGCTTTTTTGATGCTTTTCTTATTCAAGTGGTTTTATAAAAAAGGTCTGCAAGCAAATTTGAGCTGAAAAATTTTTCAGCTTTCAATGAGAATCAATGTTGTTCTCTGTTTAGTTTAATTTGTTTAAATAGAGCAGTTTTAATAAAAAAATATTTGTTTGTTCTTGGTTTTTTACTTATTTGTTTAGAGATTCTTAAGAATTAGGCAACTTAGCAAAGCAAGATTTATTTTATTTTTTAGTGCAATTGGAAAGAGCTAAAGTGTTTTTTAGTCACTTTAAATCATTTGTTTCTTTTTTTAAATAGAAGAGTTAATATTAAAAATATTTAGACTGTCGAACTGTTATTGATTTGGGTAAGTTAAATGTTTTGTTTTATTTTATATTAGATATATATTTTATGTATTTAACATGGAAAACTGACTGTAATTTTTGACATGTAAATTTATATACATAAATGTGCCAATATATCAGAATATTTTATATTTCTCTGAATCTATATAAATATTATCTCATAGAAAAAATTAATAAGAATAGAAAAAATTTGTGTATATATACATACATATGTATATATATATATATATATATATATATATATATATATATATATATATATATATATACATATATATATATATATATATGTATATATATATATATATATATATATATATATATATATATATATATATATATATATATATATATATATATATAGTATATATATATATATATATATATATATATATATATATGTACATATATATTTATATAAATATATATATATATATATATATATATATATATATATATATATATATATGTATATATATATATATATATAATATATAATATATATATATATATATATATATATATATATATATATAATATATATATATATATTATATATATAGTATATATATATATATATATATATATATATATATCTATATATATATATATATATATATATATATATATATATATATATATATATATATATATATTATATATAGTTTCAAATATATATAAATATATATATATATATATATATATATATATATATATATATATATATATAATATATATATATATATAATATATATATAACAAAAATGTATATATATACATATGTATATATATTTATATATATATATATATATATATATATATATTTATATATATATATGTATATATATAAATATATATATATATATATATATATATATAAATATATATATATATATATAATATATATATATATATATACATATATATATATATATATATATATATTATATATATATATATATATATATATATATATATATATATTATATATGTATATATATATATATATATATATTATATATATATTATATATATATATATATAAATATATATACATATGTATATATATATACATTTTTGTGCATTAAGATTGTGCCTGATGGTAAAAATAACTTTCCATTGTAGTCTAAATTCTTTGCTAAATTTAAATAATATTAAAAATTTGTTTGTAAAAGTTTTAAAAATATAAAACGTTCATTTATTCAGTTGTAACAGTAGTATGATCACTGGAAATAAATTTAATGATAACAGATATATAATATTAGGCTCGAAGAAGTTATTAGTGTAAATGGTTATAGGTGATTTGCTTTTGTTGTCATATAAAAGAAATAGATCTAGGCGTGACAAAATTAATTGTCGTTGAAATATAAGAAATTTTGCTTGATGAACAGAAAACTTTTTTGTCAGAATTCAGTGTCAAGCGGTGTTGATGTCTATTATTTGATTAGAGACTCTAAAACATGAAATTTAAAGTATGAATTTTACTATTTTTAATACTTTAATTTTAAAGTATGAATTTTACTATTTATAGTAACAAATAATAACAGTTTCAATT